TAGATCTTGCCTCGATTATCAACCATACTCACTTACACTATCTCCCCCTACAACAGGCCCCAAACCACAGAACAAGTCCAAGCGCACCGTCGGCAAGCGCAGTAGTATGAACAGGCATGGCTATACTGTGCGCACGCATCCCTTCTGGGATGACTTTGAATGGACTAAGCTGGAGACCTTCTCCATGGCCGCACCCTTTACACCCAGTTTCCGCGACTTTGCCGACACGAACAACTTTATCACGTACGACGATGATAGCAACAACGATGTGAGCTTCATGATGGGCGAGAACCAGCAGCAGGTGTGTCTTTGGGCCTGTGGGGGTGGGTGTGGGTGGTGGGCGTGTGTCCGTGTCTGTGACTGTGACTGTGACTTAGGTATTCTGCGTTTGCCCGTGTTGGTGTGTACAGTTGTGCACAGGCCTTGTCTGTAGTGTCTGGGCACATTCGCTTTCTCCTGCGCATTGGCACGCACTTCAGTGTTATAGTGCGACTGCTGAGTCAGATAGAGCCGTGGTTCGTCCAGAAGGAGACTCGAGTACCTCGGCTAAGTCGCTCTATATACAAATCAAAACGTTTATTCGTAGGGGTTCTATTTGGTATTCGTTGATACGAGATTGCAATGTATAATGAGCTTGCATCTGCCGGTTATCTATAAACCCGGCCATTCGCATTCAGGAGTTCATGAGTTCATGGTAAACTTGTACTGATTTTGGTTTGTTTATTCCGTTTTGCAATACTCCTGTTGTGCTGGTACGTTTTTTAACACTCCTGTTGTGCTGGTACGTTTTCGAACACTCCTGATGTGCTGGTATGTTTTCTAACACTCCTCATGTGCTGGTACGTTTTCTATGCAGTCCTTTACACCGAGCCAAAGAGGCTACACACTGAAGGATGTGAATGTGGCCGGGAAGAAACGGTTTAGCACAGACACCTCAGAAATGGAAAAGCTATTCAAAGACTTCTGAAGGGAAAGGGCCGAATAGTTTACTTAGTATAGTGTTGTAGAGTCACGAATAGTTTACTTAGTATAGTGTTGTATAGTCACTTTCAACAACATAGGATCAAAATAAGGCCAGCGTGAAGGCATGGTGCTTAGCATAGTACTGTAGAGTCACTTTAATAACAAATCATAATAAAGCCAATGTGAAGGCACTTTGCGTAGTATTATAGTCACTTTAACAACATAAATCATAATAAAGCCAGCGTGAAGGCATGATACTTAGCATAGTATTATCTTTAACGACATAAACCATAATAGAGCCAGCGTGAAGGCAAGGTACTTAGCATGGTATTATAGTCACTTTAACAACATAAATCATAATAAAGCCAGCGTGAAGGCATGAGTATACATATTATTGCCACAATGGAGTCGTCTGGTCTCCTATCGTAGTTCGAGATGCACTCAACGCTATCAAACGTACACTCAACACGTCCCAAGTGTGCCATACCACTCCATCAATCATTCTTTTCAACATAGCTGCGTGATCTCATATATTTACGAATGTACTTTGTAGTGTAGAACCATTCGCACTGCATTTGTTTAATCAATACAAATCTATTCTTATCAGCTGCGTACTGTAATGTCATACCATTCGTACTTGATTTGTTTAATCAATACAATCTACTCTTATCAGCTGTGTATTGTAATATAATACCATTCACACTTCATTTGTTTAATCAATACAATCTACTCTTATCAGCTGTGTACTGTAATGTAATACCATTTGCACTTTTATTTGTTTCGTTAATACCATCAACTTTTATTAGCTGTGCCGTGCCCATGTCAGCTCCATGTACGCACATCCACATCCCATATCGAGTGCTTCTGCGCAATGCCTCCTGTGGCGGCGGTAAATCCCAAGAGCATGGTGTCTCGCTGCACTACGGCTGGGATGTCAATCTGTGTACTCAAAATATCGGCGTAGCTGTCTGCAAGGAGTGTAGTAGTTACTAACCGTTGAGTGTTGATGTGCGTTCAGTTTACTACACAGCAAATGTAACTCGCTTCGGTGAGGTCATCTCTACACTGTGATAATAATCAATGAAAGCCCCAATAAAACACAAAGCCCAATATTTTCAAATGGCGGCGTTGAAGGTTTGTGAACACCGACGCATCACTCTACAGAACGTTTGGACACGCCTATGCGTGATTGCGCCCACAATACCAATAATCACAATCAACAAAATATAAATAGAACAATACCAATAATCACAACCAACAAAATATAAATAGAACAATACATATTCATAAATCAATCCGATGATCTAACACATGAACCAATCACATCCAACGAAATAAAAATAGAACAAAACCAATACATAAATCAATCGTATGATATGCGCATTATCCTGTATACAACCCTGACATACACCCACCAAAACAGCCACGAACGCATCCACCCACGCACCTGTATGGACTGTCTTCAGCTCTACGGTTAGTGTCAACGTGTCCATCTGATATGACACGCGACACCATCTGGGCGTCCCGCTATTCAATTGCGGTACGTTAGAGGTGCGCGCCAGTGAACACGCGTGGTGGGACGTCACGGCGCTATCTATGCCCACGTGCACGCTGACGTGGTTGCCGCTTGGGTCGTCGCACTCCATCTGAAATGCCGTAGATATGGAGAATGCCGTAGATATTGAGAATGCCATAGATATTGAGGATGCCATACATGCAGAGAGCGACGTTTAATAACCAGGCCGTGTTGGTTGGGAAGAGTGTTAAAGCTGCTCACATCTGGCTGAAACAACCCATTGAATACCACCAACAAGAACCCTTAGTATTTCCAAAAGGTCAGATGAAGTGGTGATTGATTATGCGTAACAAGAACCCTTAGTATGTTCCAAACGGTCAGATGAAGTGGTGATTGATTATGTGTAATAAGAACCCTTAGTATGCTCCAAAGGGTCAGATAAACTGGTGATTGATTATGCGTAATAAGAACCCTTAGTATGTTCCAAAAAGTCAGATGAAGTGGTGATTGACTATGTGTAACAAGAACCCTTAGTGCGCTCACGACCACCACTATACCCATATCTATTCACTCTTCTCAAAAATAAATAAAAAATACCACAGTTACTATACCTACCACAGCACACATCCATGCCACAGTTGACATCCCTATTAACGCTAGCATCCATATCACAGCTAACCTTCTATGTCAAACTTAAGGTCTAGAGTTTAGGGATTAGGCTTTAGTTTTAGCCACCAGACCTACAGAAAACACACGGGGGAGCTGACGTATAATCGAATTTAGAATGCTTAGCCTCGTAATAGGCCACTGGCAGCACCAAACACCAAACACCACACACAACCATAGAACAGCACGAAACTAGCCACAGCACAAATCATACCAACCATGTCGCCATTCTATAACCCTGACCAACAACCTCAAAGCCAAGTCAACATACCAAACACCTCACACCCACTTATAAACAGCACGGAATTATCCAAGGCACAAAGCAGAACCACCATGTCACCGTTCTACAACCCTGACCAACAACCATAAAGCCAAGTCAACATACCAAACACCTCACACCCACTTATAAACAGCACGGAATTAGTCAAGGCACAAAGCATAACCACTATGTCACTGTTCTACAACCCTGACCAACAACCTTTGTAGCAAGCCAACCTCGTACTCGGGCCAGTTCAGCAAGCCACTGTTATACTGTAGACCGCACTAACACTTTACGTACAATAACCTGAACTACCACAGCTCAAATGAAATCGTGATTTTCCACTCAGAATACCTTGAACTGCAACAAACACCGTTCGACCGTAGTGATCGCAATCAATATAGCAAGCCACATATTTCAGTATGGCTTTTGTATATCATATTTTAGCATGGCACATAAGTAACATATTTCAGCATGGCACACATGTAACATATTTCAGTAAGGCAGTTGTATAACATTTCAGTATGGCACTTATATACTCTACTGACCAACAGCGTTCCGCACAGTAAGCGCACAAAAGCACAGCAGACACATACCATTGAATCGTAGCTATCAACTCAACAGCCATGTAAATACAATACACACAAGCACAGTACACACATACCATTGAATCATAGCTATCAAACTCAACAGCCAAGCAGTTGAGCATGCCACTGTAGCCCAGGCCGCACCCGCCCTTCCCCAGGGCTTTGCTCTTGTTGGAGCGTACCACTAAGGCCATTCCATCCGCCCCACTATACAGTACAAATAGAAACCCAATGAACAATTCACAAACAACCCGACGAACAACCGACAGTACGGGATATACTGTATGCTGCGATATGCAAGCAAACGCCTGCTTTAAACACTCTCATGATATCACTGTAAGCGTCGCTAGAACGACGAGAATGATTGGCATAAGCCATAGGACTGAGCGCTAAGCTTTCTATCTCAGTGGTAACGTATTGCTACGGTCAAATGCTACGGTCAGACAGCGACACGGCAACCGTTGCGTCGAAAGCACACACCACAACTACACAACTACGTTCCAGACGTTGCAGTCAATTTAAACATGTGCGACAGTGAGGGCTATCAACCAGTACTTGCACTGCGATACGCCATGTGTGTGACTTTGGAGTGCAGCATCCATACGCTCCGCAACTGTTAAGTGTTGTGTATATACATACAGAGAGACACGCATTCAACAGCTGATCATTCAAACACTTCGCAACTATTGAGTACTATGTATATACACATATACAGGCCAGTATACAACAGCTGCATGGACCATACCTGCTCTCCATGGCGAAGGCAAACTCGCACACCCAATTGGTTCTGGTCGGAAGAAATGTGTTGATATAGGCCGCCCCCACTTTGTCACACTCATTGGGTGTTAGTACAGTCCTCGTGTCGCCTACAGGGCAAGTTAAAGGACCACGGAGTGAGCTGAGGATAAAAGTATGAGAGCGACAAAGAGACAGAGACACACACAGAGAGTACTGGACAGAACCCGAGTGGATTCGAATGCCGTAAGCTAGGTGCGGAAGCAAAGGACCCCGGAACAGACTAATATTAAGCTGACTAGCATCCGCCCCGCATGTCAACACGGTGACACGACCCGCTGAACGGTACGGTCACGCACCATTGATGGTTTCAATAGAGCAAGCCCCTACCCGTTTGAGCTTGGCCACGTCTGAAACTGTGTGCACGTGCGTGTGCTCGTCTGGGTACAGAACTTCAGGCCTGACAGCGGTGAGTGGCGTTGCACCGCTTACAGTAGTCTCTCCACGGTTCAATCGCCAGCTGACCGACCCTACAAGCACCCCAGACAAGGAAGTGGACGCAAATCAAAAGCCAAGACAAGGAAGCGGACGTAAATCAAAGGCGTGGACAAGTGAAGCCAAGCTCAGCCAAGCTTTTTATGTCTCAACAAAATGACTGCCCTAGTCCACACACACGCGCAAGACACAACACGCAAACATTATATATATATATATATATATATACCCTATCAGAAGTATTCATAACCGTATACATTCACCACACATACCCGATGTACGGCCCTCGTCCTCGCCCCCTCCGCCCGCAGACGTGTTGGCCGAGAGAAGTTCGGTCTCTTCCTCGGCCCTTCTGGCGTTGAAGCTATCCATATCCACTTTGTACGTGCATGTGCGTCGTTGTTGCAGGTCTGCTGCGTGGATGGCTTGGGCTGTCCAAGTGTGATCGGCGAGTGTTTGTCGCTGCCTTAGCTGTGTGTAGAGAGTGTTGTAAGTGAGTCATGTATGGGTACGCTACTGAGACGGTGTGTGTCCATTCCCACGCCTGAGACCTCTAGGCATATTTGGGCCTAAAGGAATAGCTCGATCAGGCTTAACGTTTTACAGTCTGAGCTATTGCAAAGGTAGGAGGTAGGTATGTCAGTGATATGATAACCTTGGTTGACCCGTTGTCTGCCCACACCGTAGACAGCATGCCTTGAATTCGGTCCCAGTCTGCGTTTTACGTTTTGCGTTTTACACATATTTGCGTGTGTAGAACACATATTTGCGTACGTAGAGCTGTGTGGCTGCATTGGAGCCAGTCTGACATTTCTGCTGCAGGGTATGTAGTCTGTATATACGTTTTACGTTTAACGCATGCGTACAGTTGTGTGGCTTGTAGTCTGCGATATCCGTTTAACACATACGTACTCATCACTGTGTGGCTGCATTCCAGTCTGGTGTTTCTACTGCAGGGTATGAGCAGTGTATTGCTTATGCATATCTAGGTTCCAAGTCTCGCACCTGAGCAGCTGGGCCCATGCACATGCACATGCCCATGTACTTGTCAGAAAGAAGACGCGTGCCAAGAGACTTGGGCAGGAGGTTCCCTGCGTACGTCTCAGTCAAGCGCTTCCCCTTACTATTCTCCTGCTCGTTGTATCGAATCCCAGCCGCACCCACCAAAAGTACAAGCCTCCCCAAAACCACTCTTTCCTCAAGAAAAAGGACATAACAACACATACAGACCTAAATCACTAATTTTCGTGACCCTACTTCGAAAATAAGGACAATACACACATACATGCACACCACATGCTCACCTTAATCACTCCTCTCGCGAATTTGCCTTCAAGTAGAAGGGCAATACATAGGCACATACATAACAGATGCACACCTCGTTGTAGTCCTGGGTGTATCGTCGAGACACATCAACCACCTCCTCGGCATTGAAAGCAAACAAATATGTCAGCTTCTTCCCCCAACCTCTCTCGTATACCAAAGGTGTGTCATACTTGGCCTCAGAACAATCCGTGTGCACCCATCTGGTAGTAACATAACCACCGTCGGAGATACAGACATGGCAGAAGGTGAATTCATAAGTGTGGTTACAAGACCGCTTGCAAAGGTGGTGCAGTATATATCGCCTGTGCAGTTACAAACGTACACGCACTATGACATGAATAGGTATAAGTACATACGGATTGATATACCTACCTACACTATACCGACTCCCAGTCTGTGAACTATGAAAGCACATATGCCTTGAACACGCACCTTCGCATATGGTCGCTGTACACCTCGGTCCATACGTGGTCTGTCAGGTCGAGGACAAAACGTGCCTTGTAACCAAGTGCACGGGCGATTAATGTAAAACAATTGGCCCATTCGCCACATCTTCCCCGCCGCGTCTGCAGCAGTTTACCTGGATCATTGTATCTCGGGAACCGCACCTATTCAATGTCAAGGAAGCTTAGCTCATGGGTGACGTTGGATAAGACACCTCGAGACATAGTGGAACAGGGAGGTCACCAAGTTACACAACAAAAGTAGGAGATGTTTCATGGTGGAGTGTAATCAAGACTAGGATAATTTTGCTGTGGCGGTATATATGTTCGCCTGCATCAACTGCTCAACTAAACCTGTATACATGAGAATCCTTCTCATCAGGTATGAACAACAAATCTCTCACACAAGTAGATATATAAATGTATGTATGTAATAAATATGAATGAGCATAATTTATATATATATATATATACATAAACATACATATATATATACAATAAATAGCATATATATTACTATATCTATATATATCTATATATATATATACTAGATAAGAAATATGAGACACATCCACCAGTTAAGAAGATAACGGACTAGGTGCGTGGTGTGGTAAGATGATAATTTCAACTCTTACCATGGAAGCAACCAGGGGTCTATGGGCTTACCTGTGAGTTGCACTGGGGACAGAGGTATACTTCCACTCTAGCAGCGCCATACTTTAAGTCATCACTAGTGGGCGTACCACTCCCGACCGATACAGTTTTATCGGGAGGAGGCAATCCAGCTTCCGCATTGAACTTGACACAGCTTTCGCACACCGCCTGATCGACCCATGAGAAGAAATCTTTCTTATACCATCGAAGCATCTGCTTCATCAGCTCGTCTCTGATGTGTGTGTTGGAATGCATCTCCCTATGCGCTTTCTCATAGAGCGTGAGTGTGGGCACGCATGCTCGCGCACGTGCTTGTAGTTCCGCACTCTCATACTCACACACTTTCGCACAGCAGCTGGTGATCTGATTGTTCAGTTCCTCCTGTCCGGTTGTGCTGGCTACGGAAGGCATTCTATATGACTGTATGTACACAACACTGAAGCCGGAGGAGCTTCTTTGTCGATCTCAAAATGTTCCATATATTTATGTATATCATATTTTATTATTATAAATATGTATCAAATGAACCGCAATTGTATTTATACCAGAAGTTCGGTATAACGAATAAGTACATATTAAATATATGTATTTATTATTATTTTCAAAGCACTCTATTAAATTTATTTTTTTACAATAATACAACTGTTTGTTTTTAGAAGGCTATGATACAACGGCTATATGTTTTATGTGTTTTTTTTGTAAAATAACAACAAAACTGAAAAAGTCACGGCCCTACAAATACATATTTACATAAATATAAATTATAAATAAAAGTCTCAGGCCTCGTCCTCAGGGCTGAGGCCTAAAAGGCCCTCATCTCTCACTCCTCATTTGTTTAAAAACAAATACACTGTTTATCACTCGAAGATTCGAATTATCTTTTATTTTTAATGACTGCAGTGATACTGATAATAGCTATATATAAAACTAATAAAACGTCCGAAATTCCGAATGTCTTGATCTCTACTCGCTTTACTCTTTATGAGAACTATTGACCAATGGTCATATCCCATGTAGATTCTAGAGTGGCTCCGTGAAAATCGCCAGATTCATGAGCTTTTTCTTTCTTTTAGTTCATGAGGTCGAAGACTAGCTATCCGTGACTACATACACTTTTGACTGAGAGACTTCAGTCTTCAGAAGACTTCTTCATTTTAATGACAATTAATATAAATGATTTAGTAAGTACGTGATTAACTGATTATGCATAGCCTTCTCAATTATACAAGTAAATAATTATATATATATGAGAAGGCTATGGATTATGTTGAAAAAACAATAGAGCAGTCAATTTTTAAAATATCACGACTATGTATATATGTATCAGTCGAAAGTTGAAACTCGAAAGAAAACGAGACCAGTATATATATATAAAACATTCCCGGTTGTGTGCACATCTTCTCAGAACCTGTGCTATAGCAGAACCTGTGCTATAGCAGAACCTGTGCTGTAAGCTGTTACATCGAGTTTACAGAGTTTAGTCGATTGACACATGCAAGTAACCATCGAAATATGGATCAACATAAGGATGTCGGTCCGACGAGTATTTTAGTGAGATCGCGCAGCTCTGCTCTTGCGATTCTGAACGAGCGCAAACGACAAGGGCTCAAATACTATAGGTTCATACCATGCATAGCGAAAAATATCTTCTGGCATCTCTTGGTGGATGTCTTCCTGATATGCTGCTTCGTTGGTCAGACAACGTAAGATTTCATGTCCGAACGAATATATATATATATATAGTACAGTTTAGTGACTACCACAGTGGACAAAGGCCTCACAACAGCGCCAATATAAACATATGTAAAGACATGATTTGTACAGAATAAAAAACAGCTGCATTTCACTGTACGCAAGCGTCCGGCGAACAACATTGTCAACAGCTCAATGTGTCTGTTATTCCACTCAATCTCACAATTGGAGCTCCGTATCCATTTCCTTGTCCCGGCTCAATGTGGTTGCTATCCCACGTGCCATCACCATTCAAGCTCCATACAAGTAACCCAACACATCCATATTACACAGCTTGAATGATATCTCATCTGTTGAGCACAATCCTAATATTTATTCATACTACTTGTAAGCAGAACGGTTCTAATAATAAAAGTCGGTCGCATCGTACGCAGATCCGGCCTCGCTGGCGTCATCCACTTGTTTTGATAAATAGAAACAAAAAAAATACGATCAGTGGGAATACACAATGGATCGCAATTCGAATAACAGGCGCCAGAGTGGGGGTGGTTGAATTCCTTTTGATTTCATAGTATCCGTGCGCAACTATCGATGTTGGCTTCACTTTCACAGCACCAAGAAATATAGCATATTAGGAATACTAGTTTTCAAATTTTAAAAGTGGTTCCATACGCCTCACCGACTATCCCAATGAAAATTTAGCGATAAACATGAACTCAAAATCTCAATCCTCATAAGCCTTGTGTGGCAGGTCTACTAAAATCACCAGCAATACCTCTGCCTGGAAATCAGATGCTACCGCTCTGATTTTTTTTTGAACTATCAGACCGGTCATCCACAAAGCAACAGCCCCATAAATATATACAAGACTAAAGACTAAACGGGCTTGATTTCAACCCCAAAACTGTTTCTGATTTGTCAAAAACAATACCTATGTGACTATTGAGGCGAGAATTGAGATAAAATAAGGGTTTTCTGCTATAGTTAAGTTCCTATATA